TTTTTGAAAAGGAAGGCTGTGTGAAATTTACTAGAAAACGAGACCCAATAATCTGGTTGTGAGAAAATTCAACTATCATTAATTCATCAAATTCCACCTAGGGTGATTAGAACTTTTATTAAAGAAAAATCATGCAAAATGATCAAAATTCACCTTGACATTGAATTTTGTCGTCAGTCGATTTCCATTGTCGAGGCTGCAAACGAGGCCGAAACTGGTCGCGAAGGCGACATCCGAGTCGATGAGCTCGGCCTGATCGGCTATCGATGGGATGGAGGCTGGAGGTACCGATTCTGGCTCCAGGCCAGCCGCAAAGTAATGAGCAGGCGGCCAATAATGGAAGGCACGCAGGAGGCTGGAGTACTCACTGGCTCGCCGTCTGCCTCTTAGGCGGACTCCAAGGGAATTGGAGGTAGGCACAAGGCCGATTGCGTGTGCTTGTTTGACAGGCCAGTCAAGTCTCTCTCCGGCTGCAAGATCCAAGCCGTTCGGTGCCTTCGACCACACGAGACAGTCATACAAATACAGGTTTGTGACCAATCGTGGCGAGGCTGCAAAATTCAGATTTCGAGCAATGCTTTTGTCTTTCATACTCATTACAATGCCTTAATTAAAGGGAGTCATTAAAGTATTTATATAGTAATTGTATTCCGCTATCTTGTATTTTTGTATATCGCAGATCTGGTCGTATCGAGGCAAGTACGGCTGCAGTACGACGGAAATTAACCGTCATCTTCTATTGAGAACGACATTATAATCACTTCATCATGTATTTTCATACGAAATAAAAGTCTCTCCAACAATATTTTTTTAGTTATCAGTAATTATAGGGTAAAAATTACCCAGCATAAATCGCCTAATAGTTGAGCTTTTCCAAAATGCGATACCCTTGGGTTTCACAAAGTTTTGTCTACCAAAAGGCTAGCAATCTCGACCTCGCCTGGGTATCATCACCACCCTTAACCAGATTAGATAACAGGTTGTCGTCGCCATGATGCTCACGACTCGGATCAAATCTCATTGGTAGGCATGTATCTTGGTGCGGA